CCGACCATCGTAGCTGCATTCATTTCTGAATTTCTCAAGGCGAATATCCTGTGCAACAGTTCCGACCGCATCGACAAGGCCTCTGCTCTGCTACGCAACGAAAACTGCTGAGCCAGCTGCCTAAGCAGCTCGTACCCACAGTTCACATTTCCCAAACTTCTGGCTGGATCTGCAAGAGACCCATCAAGTGGCAAACCTTCGCTGAACGCCTGTATCATGAGGGTTGCCCTAGCATGGTCCAAGAAAGCTGCTTTCAACAAGCCATACAGCCTCACCGACCGTGTCTTCTGCTCTTCATTCAACGAATGTTGCCAAATCGTATCTGGCCAACGCACACACATGCCTATCTCTTCTGCAAACACAACGCTCGCCAACGCTGCCCAACTTTGAAGCGACACTACGTAGTCTGCAAACCCAGCAACCTCTTGCTCACGCGTGCTCCACTTCTCTGCATGGGTCACAGGAGGCTGACCCAACCATTTCTCAGATCGCGAAAACACATCTCGTGACTCAAAGCTTTGCGTTATGCCAGCCTGCATACCAGCTCCAGGAAGCACACCCGACGTTTGTGGCATGAACTGCTCTCGCCTAGGTCCTACAGGTACTGGCACCGGTCCAAACTGCTCAGGCACTCCACGCGCCTGCATTCCAAGTTGCTCCTGTAGCGCCGTTTGCGCCGCTTGAGCTTGCTGTGGTGACATCATGCTGATGAGCTGCTGCATCTGGACCAAAACGTCCTGACCAGCCATGCCTTGCCCCGAGCATCCATGCACTGGAACTGCCGACTGTGTGCCGCACGCACCTGCGCTCACAGCCCCGATGCCTGCCTGTCTTCCTGCCATCCCCCCACTCAGAGAGGACAACTCACTGTCAATTCCCCCAGCTGGAACCGGCGGAAACTGACACGCATGTGCCTGCATGCCCACGTACTGTTGCGCCTGCTGCACTGCTTGCTGTCTGGCTTGCTGCTGCTGTTGCAAGTACGCCCCCCATGGGTCTGAGCTTTGCCCCGGAGTCTCAACACCCTGGCCTCTACTTCTACCGTCCCTAAGACCTTGCTCAAGTCTGTCAGGCGACGCTGGCCCACTTGCCATGCTTCACGCACAACACGTGGCTCTTTCCTTTAGGCCAAGGCGTTCCGGCAGCGCTCCGCTACCATGTAAAAGTTTCTAAACAGCACAAACCCAACTTACACACAGCTTCGCACTTGCACAGCACTTTCTCACACAAAGCGACGTGCAGTTGTCCTGCCTTCTTAGTGCTTTCTCAGCTCTCTTGACCTTGAGCCAAAAGTCAAACGTAAAACTGGAAAAACCCAGTTGACGCCACCTACACAAGCTCACTTCTCCTACAAAACAAAACTTCAAGGAAAAACATGCTCGACTGCTCAGGGAAGACCTGTACGTCCCGGACATACAGTAAGCACGTCAAACATGCGCCTTGGCCAAAAAGGCATCCCGCAGACGTGTCTATACACAGATTTTCACAGAGAGGGAGGAAGGGGGAAGGGGGGTGGAAGGGGAAGGAAGGGGGGGAGAGAGGGAGGAAGGGTACGATAGGAGGGGGGGGAGGGCGGGGAAAGGGTGCAACCCGCCTTCCAACGAGGGGTCTTGAAGGTGGGTTGGGCCGGAACTTGAACTGGAAAGACACTTGCACTCTTGCGCAGCGGCAGTTTTCCGTCAGCGCTGTGGTATGCCAGATGCGGGTTGGTGAAACTCGGAACACAAAGCACGGAACGCTTTGTGCAGCACTTCAACGCACCAGTGAGAGCTGGCCTCTGGATGCTCAGACTGCAATTGCAAGACCCTGCAGGGTGTGCTGGCCTAGTCTTAGGCGCTTAGAAGCCACTTGCGTGCTCTGCGCAAACGCAAGGTGGAGGGACTTTGCAGACCGGCTCCGTCGTCAGACTCTTAAGTACAGTAAGACGGAGTGGAAGGTCCGTGCAGTGCAAGGCTTCTCCGTGATGCACTTGAGTGCAAGCTCACTCGACAAGAGACCCCATCTTTGATGCGGCGGCAGAAACCTTGGACGTTTCCACCCTTCGACCAACTTCCAACACCCTTCTCCAAGACACCAAACTGCTGGCCGCTTTGGTCTGCCTGGAGGTAGCTCATCCCGCTTGCAGGTCGAAAAGAACTTCTCTTGGCAGACGTTGATGGCAGTAGTGCTGCTTTCACGTTGCAAGTGTGGCTCTAACCAGCTTACTGCGGTGTGCTCTTTCGCGCCCTCGGCGCCTCTTTGCAAACTGGAGGCTTTCTCCCTACTTCTAGCGAAGCCGGAGAATGACCTCTTCAGCTCTTCTCCTTTCGAGGCCTGCTTGACCCGCTTCTTACAAGAACCCTTCCGCTTCATGGACGCAATCCGTTTTAACCAAGCCCTCTTTGGCATCCGTTTTATTCGCCTACCAGCGTTGAATCGATGCCTGGTTACGTCTTGCCAGACTTACACTCCCTTCTGGAGAATGTGCCGCCGGTGCCGGCCCAATAGCCTCCCGGCTTCTTGTCTGTCCCTGTAGCGACACGCCTTCCGGGGCCGCTATTTACGAAGAAAAGCTGACTGCCGGTGGCATTGTGTGCAGCAATGCCAGAAGGCAAAACCCTTAAGCTCTCTCTTGTATCTGTGTTTCAAAACTGGCCTCTGTTGTGGCGTGGTCTCTGGCTGTTTCGTTGTGGGGGCAAGTCCTTCTTCCTTGATTTGGCGGGAACTCGTATTAAAACGCGGTCCTGAGGGTTTAGGGCTGGCTTTTAGAAGGGTCAAAAGTGCCCGTAAAATGCGCGCAAAATCTTTTGGGCCATGGTGTGGCCTGGCGGGGTCGGAGTTTGGAGGTTCGACTTCCGCTGATCAGGTCAAGTGCGTCTGAACTACCGCAAACTGCAGGAGAGACTGCGGTAGAGACGGAGTTTCTGCGTCCAGACTCAAACTTACCGTAACTCAGGAGAGACTCCAAAGACACTCCGAAAAAACCGCAGAGACTTTGGTGGAGACTCCGCAAAAACTGCACAAAGACAAAATGACTCCACACAAAGACCCGAAAGATCCCAAAAGACCAGCCGAAATTTCACCGATGCTGGCAGACTCAACACACCTATGAGTACTGCAGACTCGATTCCGACGAAGAGCGCTGCAGACTCGAGCGAACATTGCAGGATTCCGACGGTCTAGTAAAAGGTGTTGCAAGCCTCGCAGCAAGCTGTACGCAAACCTCTGCACGTCGAGAGCTTGAGAGCTCTAAATAACAAGATCATGACACGCGACTTCAAACCATGACTTGTGGAATTCGAAAGCGCTGGAAAAGCAAATCTACCTGCCGTGCAGCAACTGGGCACTGGCACAAACAGCTGGCTACGCATACCAACTCAAGCGGAGCCTAAGCCACAAAAAGAAAAGGATCCAGCGACGGCTCGTGTCAGGGACCTGTCAAGTGGCATGCGACATGGAGCTGCGGCCAAGTTTTCGCAAGAGGCTATCTCTCGGCACAGTGTCTGCGAGCGAGCAGCACGAGTCTGCGCGAGCGCTCAGCCCTTTTCAGCGCAAGAAGCGAAGACACTCTAGTTGTGCTATGATCTCGCTGCAATTCACGCGGCTGTATCTGTGCTGGTCGCTTTGATAGTTCTGATAGCCCGCTGTGGCCTAGCTGCACATTTGGAGCAGCACATTGGGCATGTCCTCAACGGTTTACCTCGCTCGGCCATGCTCAGCCAGGTTTCCAAGGAGGGATGTTTTTCCGGCGCCTCTTGGGCTCCAAAGAACAACGACTCTGGGTTTGTTGAGATCCGCCTCCTGGGTCTGCTTGATCTGGGCCATTCCTCTCCGGGAAGGGCCTGTTCGCCTTGTTGAGTGCTTGAGTTCAAGACGCGCTCATTCCACTCGGAAATCTCGCTGCCCGGGGGAGTCTTTCCACCTGTTGCGCTGCATTGCCAATAGAACGTAAGACAGCTCAGGAAAGCAAGATGAAAAAAAAAGAAAGAATCTGCACTCAACAAAAAATCCCCAAATCCGCAACACTGACGCATATAATGGAATCTGCTTCACACGCTGCCTTGCCAAATTTCCGGAGAACCGAGTCCAAGGGGTTGATTTTGGCTCTCGCAGGTGGAGCGTAGTGACTAGTAGTGGTTGTACTGAGCTCTCGTGGCCAGTTCTTGAGCCAAACAGACACCCGTGGCACCAAATTTCCTTTGACCCTGTCCCCCGCCTTAACTATATTTTTAATTCATTAAAAGAAGGGCAACAAAGAAGCATCTAAAGAAAGCAACAGAGAAGCAAAAAGACACCAAACAGATAACAGAAAGATACCAGAAGGAGACAAAAGAGACAAAACGGAGACAAAATGGAGACCAAACGACAAAAAAAGACAACTTAAAGCAACGAAGTCCGTGGAAGAGCCCTTCGTGGCACTTTCGGGAAAACTACTTGCATGAACGATGTTGCATCTCTTGCGTTCCACCATGGCAAATACGCATGAATGAAAATCCAAAGGATTGTGCAAGCAGCGCACAAGCTGCACTCAAGCTGCTGCGACGGTACAATGTCAACCCAACCGCAACCCATGCACACTCCGCCGGTTGCAGCCTTTTGACATCTTCACGAGCGTATGCGTGGCCTGGCTCTCACCACGCTATGGTAAAATTCTTCAAAGCCGCCAAGAGCAAGTCTGCTCGGCCCGGCAAACAATTAAATAAGAGTTTGGCAAAGTCATCTTGATTGTCTACGGTGAAATGCGCTTTCGCGTTGCGCAACATCTCTAAGTATGTGCACCATTTCATTGGCAAGGGACGCTGTTTTGTCGACCGACGCTGTGCTATGCTCCTGTTCACACCGTCATTCGCCCAACTCAGAAGCTGTTGAAAACAGCGGTCGCCTGTCTTTGGATGCCAGCCATGTTGCCTCCCATGTTTCCTGCAAATACTCTCCACACGCCTGCGCAGTTTTTTGGCGTCGCCATCCATGTTGTCCCACCTCCGCAACGTGCCGCTCACAAGCTCACCAACTTGCGCAAGTTACTGCAGCCTTTGTGCGTTCTGGTACCATTGCAGCACAGGGAAATTGGACTGGTTCACAAGTGTCCCGTTCTCATCTATACACTGCGCCATGCAAACAGTCCATGGGTTGTCTGCAAAGGAGAACTTGCCATCCAATTCCTGAATATATGGCTTAAAGAAGCAGCCGTACACGATCTCATTGAAAAAGTCTGCTGGGTCAGAAGTCGCCCCACCCAAGGCCAAGTCTCGGATGTACTGCAAGCGTTCTGGTTTGCTCCAAGTGGGATCCCCAAGCAAAGGCGTCATCTCCGTCACAAATTCCGATCTCAACTTGAGATTCACTTGTTGTTGCGTGTCCTTAATGGACTGTGCGTACTTCCACATTGTTGCTGTATATGCCATCAACGGCACGGATGCGATCTCAGCTAACAACGCTGTCAGTTCGTCTCTTTCCGACTCGTTGGCTGCAGTGGCCAGGAATTTGCTTTTGGCATAGGCCAGCTCATGTTTGGGATGTTGCCACGGGAGGAAAATCTTGCGACACTCGCCAACAAACGTAAATCCATTGGGAGTCATCTTGAGAAAGTTGTGCCACGCAAGGACCATGGCTGAACCCGTGATGGCAAAGTGCAGGTTGGGGCGCTGCTTGTTGACTCCTACGAAACCTTTGAGTGTATCCCACAATGGGAGCGTTCCATGCCTCACTTCGAAATACCTCTGAACTTCGTCGATCAAGAAGAAACAGGTTCGGCCAGACCTGTCCAAAATATCCATCAGCTGATTCAAGGTCAGCTGGTCGGCATGGCCCACATCGAGCCCAGAGGATGTTGCCCAACTGCAAACCTCTTTCAGCAGGCCTTCCTTCATTTCTCCCGGCTCGGAGCCCACATCGAGAAAAGCGGCAAAGTCCAGGAAACAAATCTCGGCATCTGGAAAGGTCGTCAAGATGATCTGTGGCAAAAGGCGAGTCAAGACGGTTGACTTTCCAGTCTTTACCATGCCATTGATGGCACAAATGCCTCGGGAAGAGTTACATTCCTCCACCCACGCAGTCAACTGCTGCATCAGTGCATTGGACACAATGGCAAATTCTTCCGAATCTTCAAAGTCACAGACCAGCAGCTTCTTGTTGTGGCAAACTGTTTCGTTCATGGTATACTTGGGGGCAATGTATGGCAGCTGGCGTCTTGCGCCCTGCACCTGGAAGGGTGCACGTCAACTGATACCACTGGAACATGCGCGAAGCCGCGGTCTTCTCAACTGGTGTTTGTACACAACCAAGGCTTAACCAAGGCTTACTGAAATTCCATTGACAAATCAAACCAATCTATCGCGGAGTCGCGGTTGGGAAGAAAATTCAACACTGCAGGGTAAGACAGCACACTCAAGCAGGAACGCTTCCTATGGATGCAAAGCTAGGGATGCATGGTTGCGGGGCTCAGCACCCGAACCGAAAACGCACGACGACCAAGAGCCCCCGGACATGCAGGAGTGCTACAAACCAAAGGCAACATGCCCACGCAGAAGCCCCCCGGCCTGCACTCGTCTTGCCAGAACCCCAATGCTCTAGCGCAAAACAGGCCGCTCCCCGAACTGCTGCAAGCCAACACAGTGGAGACAGCTTAACACAAGGGCTCCTGAGAGGAAAGCAGCACCCCAAAAAGCAAGCACAAAAAACCCACGACGACCAAGAGCCGCGGACATGCAGGAGTGCCAGGCAATATGCTCACGCAGAAGCCCCCCGGCCTGCACTCGTCTTGCCGGAACCCCAGTGCTCGGCAAGGTCCGCGTGCTAAAGGCACTAAGAACCCAGGTCCCTTGACTCCCCCTCACGGACACAGCAACCTGAAAGTCGAGCCGCAAACAAAAACAACCGCAACCTCGAGAGCGAGCGCAAAGCGAGCGCAAAACAGGCTGACCCCCCCCACCTCGAGCCCGTTCTGAAGCATCGGCAAAACACGAAGGGCAACCAGATGTGCATGAACCTAAAGCAGACAAGAGCCCCTCCCGCTCCCCGAAGTGCTGCAAGCCAGCACAGTGAAGCTTAACGACGAGGGGATGGTTGCTGAGAGAAGAGCAGAAGAGCCCCAAAAAGCAACAACGGTGGACCGCACGAAAACGCACGATGTCACGAGCCAGCTCTGCTAAGGCCTCCTGCCTGGAATCCGGTCGCGGCCGTCGGGGCCAACATGGCATTGATGCGATCGGCCAGGTTTTGCGCAGGGCCGGCAGCAATGTTGTAGGGCATCCCCACTAGCCGCTCATAGGTCAGGCCGAACAACGCTTTGCCTCTGACGCTCTCCCGTCGCAGAGTGTCAACGATCTTTGGCGTGTCGTCGCTGTCACCATCCTCTTCCAAGGCCGCCCGGACCCAACAGCTGACCTGCTAGCCACAGTCGCAGGCTCGAAACTCAAGCAAAAGACATCGCCAAGTGCCTCTTCCTTGCTAAAGTTCCGGATCTGGTCAGCTGTCTTTTGCAGCCACTCGGCCTGCAGCAAGGGGCGCAGCCCAGAACATGCTCCATCCAGCAAGAACACAAGCTCCCTAAAAGTGCCTTGGCAGTTGCGCCTTCCACATCCTCCGTGTCCTCAGCGAAGGATGCCTGACAAGTTGCAGCTGCAGGAAGCGGATGACGTCACCACGTACCCCTCAAGCTCATCGAAATGCGTCTGAAGCTCCCTGGCCCACCACACCGAAAGGACAAAAACCACTTAAGCAAGAGACACCGCAAAGCGCCTCATCCGCTGGCTTGTTTCGCGAAACCTGCAGCAAGGGGCACAGCCTCCAAAACATGCCAGTGTCAGCCTTCACGGAGCCCGCCTGATCGAAGCTTGCTTTGGCCTGCAGGAGCCACACAGAACTGCGAAGCCCTCACCAGCAAGAACAGGCTCCCTGGAAGTGCCTCGGTCGTCGCTTCTCCTACGTCATCCTTTTTTGAGGGGGCCTCCCAACATGGACTGATCCCGAGAAGACCTACATGTGCTGCTGGCAGGACCGTTTCATGCAAGCATGAGTCCATCGCAATCAATCCCTCAAGCTCCTCGAAATTCGTCTGATGCTCCCGCCGAGCAGCTTTCGATGCGAAATCTGAACACACGCCGAAAGGACAAGCAAACCTCGCCTTATCTTCGTCTTCACGAGGTTGCAGAGGCCCCTGCTCAGAAAATGAACACACTCGGGCAGGAGCGAAGGAAACGCCGTAAGAACAGCACAAGGAACGCCACGCCGAAACGACAAACCCTTTTCGCCTTGACGTCTTCACTGTCTTGGGCCTCACCACGGCCAGCCTCAGCTCTTCAGGACATACGCTTAACACTGAATTTCCTCTCGGTCTCGGCTTCCCGCCTTGGCCCTGCGTGCGACCAGCAAGCTCTGTGCCCATATTCCCGGAGGAACCGACCTCGCTCTGGCTTGCGGATCTTCGGCGTTCCATGCCATACATCACATCCCACCTTGGAAACTGCACGGCCCCCGCTCCTAGCAAAGCCCGCGCCGTCTGCGCTGCTCGCCTGAAACTACGCGGGAACACATCTAACAGTGTTCAAGGCGCTGGTCTTAGGCTCTGGCAGACACACCAAGACGAGCGCCAGTAGCACCACCACGCGCCCGACCTTGCGCGATGTTGCTGGAGGCCGGCTCATGGCGGCAATCGTCCTAGCTGTCCTCTGGCTCGAGCAAAAGCACTGCAATCTGCATGAAGCATGAACGAATGGTCGAGCTCCCCCTATTTCAGTCACGGGCCAAGTGTTTAGTTAACCAACTGCAATTCAACATGCGAAGCAAATGCAAGTGTGCACAGGCAACTGCTGCAAGATGCCTCGGTCGGGGTTCTCAGCAGGGATCGGGCCTTGCGGCGGCACACTCCCCAAAGCCCATGAAATGTGAAACCTTGCCACTTGCAAAGGCCCGTGAAATGTGAAACCCTGGCCCCAGTCTCAGGGTGGGAGGGCCTGGTGGGGTGGGAGGGCCTGGTGGTCCGTGAATTTGGAGCGCCCTGGCCGGCGCCCCGTGACCCTGTGACCGGTCACCCCTGACCCCGTGACCCCGTGACCTCTCTGTGGCCCCGCGTGTCACCGTGACCCCGTGACCCATGACCCTCGCGACCCGGGTGGCCCGCGTGGCCCCGTGACCCCGCGACCTCTACGCCGTGACCCGTGACCCCCGTGACCCGCGTGACCCGTCACCCCCCTTACCCCGTCACCCCGTGGGTCCATCGCGGCTCAAAAGGGTCACGGAGTCACGGGGTTACGCTTCCCAGTCCAGGCCTCTGTGGGGAGAAACAGCACAGCCACTCCCGAGGTGCGCAGGACAGCCACCCGAAACACACCCTAAACCCTAAACCCTGCCGGCCGAAGATGTTGAAAAGAACGGCAAAGAGCACCTGGGCCGCGAGAGGGGGTCCGGGGTTCCCGGGAGAGGGAGGGAGGCGCACAACACTCTAGAGTTACGGGGGAGGGCGGGGGCAGCGCAGGGCACTCTTGGCCAAACATGGCTCCGAGGCAGCACATGCCAGCCAACCCGAAACCCTGAAACCTTGCAGTCAGAACCTCGCAGCCTCGGAATCCCTTGCCTGCCAACCTAAACCCTGAAGCCTTGCAGTCCCGACCTCGCTGCCACAGAGCCCCTTGCCTGCCAACCTAAACCCTAAACCCTGAACCTCTGTGGCGCCCGGCGTTCGGTCGCTACCTCACTGCGTCAGGAATTGTGTGCTTGCTGCTTTCCTACGCTGTGGTAGCTGTTTGTCTGCTGTCATCCGTAGACGTGTCACCACAGCCCCAGACCCCTAAACCCAACCCCCCATCGTTCAAACCCCTAACCCAACCCCCCCATCTGGACCCCCAGATGGGGGGTTGGAGCCCCGTGTGACTCGTGACTTCTTGGCCCCCACGAGCCCCGTGTGACTTGTGACTCTTTCACTGCATGGCGCGTCAACAAACACCAAGCTGTGACTTTCGGTCTTTCGGCCGTCTAAGCCCCGCGAGCCCCGTGTGACTTGTGACTTCTTGGCCCCCGCGAGCCCCGTGTGACTTGTGACTTCCTGGCCCCGCGAACCGAAGCGTGACTTGTGACTTTTGGGACCGGGGCCTGCGAAAGTAGCGGCGTGACTTTTCCTCCAATCCCCAGAAGTCACAAGTCCCCTCTCGGCCCGAACCCCCAAAAGGTCACAAGTCACAGCCGTCCCCCCGCCCCCACTCCCAAACCCCAAAAGTCACAAGTCGCAGCCCTCCCCCCACTCCCAAACCCCAAAAGTCACAAGTCACAGCCCTCTCCCTCCCTCCCCTCCGCCCGTTCGCAAAAGTCACGGCCCTCCCCCCGCTCCCAAACCCCAAAAGTCACAAGTCACAGCCCTCTCCCTCCCTCCACTCCGCCCGTTCGCAAAAGTCACGGCCCTCCCCCCGCTCCCAAACCCCAAAAGTCACAAGTCACAGCCCTCTCCCTCCCTCCACTCCGCCCGTTCGCAAAAGTCACGGCCCTCCCCCCGCTCCCAAACCCCAAAAGTCACAAGTCACAGCCCTCTCCCTCCCTCCACTCCGCCCGTTCGCAAAAGTCACGGCCCTCCCCCCGCTCCAAAACCCTCAAAGTCACGCCCCTCGGTCAAAAGCCAGCGGCCTCGTCTACCACGAAGGTGTCAAAGAAGCCGAAAACCACGGTGAGGACCTGAAAGCAAGCAAGGGGCCCGGGGGTCACTGTAGAGCTACAGGGGAAGGGGAGGGCTGACCAGACTTCGCTGCCTCCGAGCCCCGTGCCTACCAACTTAAACCCTAAACCCTGAACCTCTGTGGCGTCCGACCTGCAGCGATGACGTCGAAGAGGAACCTGAGCGGCGAGAGGGGACACAGGGTACTCTAGAGTTACAGGAAGGGGGGTTTAGACAGCGCAGAGCCCTCCTGACATCAGACCTCGCTGCCTCTGAGCCCCTTGCCAGCCAACCTCAACCCTAAACCCCGAACCTCTGTGGCACCCGGCGTCCCTCCCTCCCCCGGTGTCAGGGCTGTGTGTGCGTGTGTGTTTGTTGCCTTCCTAACATGTGGTAGCTGTCTCTCTGCTGTAAGTTTGAAAGATGCATCGTTGGCCATGCAAAGCCTGCTGTTGCCTGCTGCTATATTGAGGAAGCGAGCGCGGCCCAAGCACCCTAAAATCCGACATGCCAAAAACATGCGAAAATCAAGCAAGTATGCAAAAATAAAAAGGCAGAGTTTTTAGGGTTTAGGGCAGGGTGTAAGGGGAATGTTTGTTTAAGCCTGCTCGCCACAGAGCAGTGAACTAGGCCTGCTCGCCGCAGAGCAGTGACTTATCAAGGCCGTCCAGCAAAGCATACAGAAAAATCCACGCCAAAAACTCATGCAAAAGGGAAAAATTGCCATTTAAGGTTTCGAACCTGTACACAAGACTTGAGCCAAAACTGTACAAGCCGCCGTACAAGAAGACAAGACTCGACCGGCGAAGGGGGGCCCGCTCGGGCGACGACCTTTTTTCCGGCCGGTGTTTTCAAAAGTCATGAGCTGGGCTCAACAACGAGAAGCGATTAGAATTGCAGCCGAGGCCGGGGTCAGGGCGAGGACCTCGGCGGCAGGCTCAGAAACCCTTCCTTTGACACACCACCACCTCCGCTACGCGATGCTGAGCCGCCCGAACGGCGAGCTCACGAGGGCCGGCCAGTACTACTACCAACTGATCGGCCGGCCGCCCCCCAGCCGGCAGTACGACCGCAACCAACCCCTCATCCGCGAGGGCCCCAACGACTACATCATGATCCGGGGCGGCGCCAAAAAGCTGCTCCGCAGCCTCCAGCCCAACGGGAACTACCACTTGACCAAGCTCGGGAAGAGCTTCTTCAAGGACAAGTGGGTCGACTGGGTGGTGCACGTGCCCGTCATCATCCGCGGCATCCGGCGAAACGGCCGGAACCGCGGCATGCGCTACGAGCGCACGAAGCGCCTGCCCGTCACGGACCTCAACGTCACCCTGTCCCGGCAGAGCGAGGGGCTCTCGGATGCCCAAGCGGCCCGGAACCTCAAGGCGTCCGCGCTCGCACAGCTCGGGAACCCCGAGCCGAACGACATTATTTGGGAGCTGTCCGACGAGACCTACTACCTGGACGCAACGAGGGAGTGGACCTTCAGCCAGCAGGCCATGCAGGTCGTAGACGACCAAGTGGTGCTGGACACCGTCCTGGATCAGCCCCTAGGGGTTCTGCGGGAGGTCTCCTACCAGCTGTACTGCGGCGACGAGATCCTCGAGTCCGCCTTCGAACAGCGGCCGGACAAGCTTTGCGTCCCTCGGCAGCTCGCGGAGCTGATGCGGCTGCCGCTGCAGGAGGTGCTTTCGGACTTCGACGCAATCTGCACCAAAAAAACGTGGCGGGAGCAGGGCATCACCCCCCGAGAGATCCGGGAATTCTGCCTTTGGCGCCAGGCCCCGATGTTCTACGTGGACTGCCAGGGCCGCCTGCTGGACAAGTACGAGCCTACCGTCAAGGAGCAGCGGGCCGTGGCCTTCACGAGCTGGAACGGCCACGCCTTCTTCTACAAATCCGCCCGCACCGTCGCGAAGTGCGAGCCGATCGGGGAGCGGGCCAGGTACCGGGGCGAGAGGAAGCCCGGCGAAACGCCCGAGTTCAAGCATTGGCGGGAGTGGGAGGGCGAGGTCGCCAGCGGTCATTTCTACACTGAAGACCTGGAGCAGGTCCGGAGGGAGCTCCTGGCCGAGGGGCACTGCCCGAAGGTGGTCATGCGAAGCATGAGCGAGTGGCGGTGCCTGCGGCTGAGGGTGCGGGGCGGCGAGGACTGCGTCATCTCCACCTTCCACGAAGACCTGGATGGGGCGGCTGGGGCTCCCCTATTGCGGGCAGCGTCTGGCGGGCGCCGCGAGCGAGGTCTTCCTTCACCTTCTCAAGGCCCGCCGCGATCCGCCCGGATCTCGGCAAGCCCTGCTCGCGGAGCAGGACCACCAGTGCAAGCTCTGCGCGGCCCCCATCACCGCAACCACGTGCGAGTTGGACCACATCGTCCCCGTGCACCAGTCCTTCGCCGCACAGGCCCAGAACCTCCAGGCACTGTGCCTCGAGTGCCACCGGAACAAAACGGCCCTGGAGTCCTCGCACGCCACGACACTGGAGTCGCGCTTCAGCCGGCGGGCTTACGAGCAGTACGTGGAATCGCCTCGACTCCCACCGCTCGTCTTCAAGCTCAACAGCCACAAGCCGGACCACATCTGCCACGGTATAGACGTGGTGCGGTGCCGCAAGAACGGTCTGGCCCATGCCAAGTTCCCCGCGCCCATCTTCTGCCCCAAGGACAACGTGGAGCAAGCCCGCGAAGGGCACCTGGCGGACCTGACCTACGTGAGGCTCCGGGAGGACGGGCGTTGGGCGGCGTTCAAGCAGCTCCCCTACGTCGGCCAGGGCTGGTACGCCAAGCCTGCGGTGGCCTACATGCTGGAAAAGGGCCTTGCGACATGGAGCGACTTCGTGTACAGCCTGGACGCCACGGCGCACGTGGACCAGGAGTCCGTGGCTCAGGCCCTGCAGAAAATGGAGGCGGCTTGGCCGGAGGGAGAGGAGCACTACGCGAAGCTGTCGGTGAATGCCCTCATCGGGCTCTGGGCACGCAACATGAACCTCATCTACACCATGCGCACCAGCAACCACCAGTTCGACGGGTCCGGGTGCCAGCACCGGGAGCTGTTCCTGGACGCCGCGGGCGGGATGCACTGGGATCACATCTACGTGACCCAGTTGTTGTCCAACCGGAGCTGCCGGCCTGTGCACGACTTCGTGATGGCCTCGGAGTACGTCGCCGTCGGGATGCACTCGCAACCGTGCCGTCAAGGTACCTGAAGGCCGTTAAAACGGACTGCGTCGTCTTCCAGGACCTGCCCAAAAAGTTCCAGCGCCTCGTGGACAGCCTGGTCCGCGAAAGGCATCCCGACGGCACGCCCGTGTACCGATGCGAGGAGGTCAAGGGCCTCGAAGGCCAGTATCGGATCCCCCGAATCGAGGCGGAGTGGATGTGCAACATTGACACCTGGAAGGTCGCGGAGGAGCTTGTGCTCCACTGCCTCGAGGGCGGGAGCCTGCTGCTGACCGGCTACCCGGGCACCGGGAAGACCCACCTGGCGCGCCAGATCGTGACCGCCCTCCGGGAAGAAGGGTACAAGGTGAAGATCATCACGAAGACCCACTCCTCCGTGCAGAACTTTGGAATGCAGGCGGAGACGGCCGACCACTGGGTGCGGAGCACCGTCCGGAACGGCTACTGCAACATCGACTGGCTGGTGGTGGAGGAGATTACGCAGCTCGACACGGGGCTGTGGAACGACATCGCCTGCGTCTCCATGAACCGCAAGGTCAAGTTCCTGCTGCTCGGCGACTTCCGCCAGTTCCCCGCCGTCATGGACAACTTCGCGGGCACCCCGGTGCAGCGGGAGCTCAAGCACTGCCAGCTGCTCCACGACCTCACCGACGGCTGGCACCACGAGCTCACCGAGAACAGGAGGAGCGACCCGGGCATCTTCGACTTCCTCCGGTGGCTCCGGGTCGACGAGCCCCGGGAGCAGTCCCTCCCGGAAGCGGTCCGGGCGGCCCGGGAAAGGTTTCCGCGGCAAGGCGAGCCCGATGTCAGCCTGGGCGCGGGACAACCGTCGCCTGGCCCCGCCGGAAGCTGTGACGATCGAGTACACCGGCACTGGCCCGACGACCACCAACATGCCGCAGACCATGCGGGTCTGGCCCGGCCTGAAGCTCATGGGCGTCGGCGGCCGCGTGACCAAAGGCATCTACGTGCATGTGGCAGAAGTGGGCCCCGAGAAGATCGTCTTGGACGGCGGCGACTCTTTCACCCATGCCGCCCTCCTGAAACACACCCGGCTGTGCCACGCCATCACCTACGCCTCGTGTCAAGGCCTGACGCTCGAAGGGCGGGTCTTCCTGTGCGACACCGAGAGCCCGCACTTCACCCTCAAGCACCTCTATGTGGGGAGCAGCAGGGCCACCAGCAGCGAGCTCCTGAGCGTGCTCTAGAACGGACACTGAAAGGCCGGGGCTTCGGCCTCTCTCAGCTGCAGGTCCGTCACTTCCATCAGAAGCCCGCACTGGCCCGACATTAGCCACACCTGGCGCAAATCTGCGCGCACCTTGCATTCCCGACCGGCCAGGTCACCCGGATCCTCCAGCGGCTGCTGGTCAGCGTCCCAGAAGTGGACTCGGGACAAATCGACCTTGAGCTTGATGAAGCTGTTCCCGCGGGAGGAGGTCTTGAGGCAGGACACGAAGCGACCCTCCACGTCCGACGCGGTGAGGTAGCGGCCGAAGATTTTAGAGTCGTGGAGGCATCGCTGGGTCAGCTGGCCCTTGATGTCCTTCTCGATCGCCTCCAGGTCTGCCTTGGCGGCCTCGTTCTGCTCGAGACACAGGGGGAGTCGCCGGGCTTCCGTCTCGCTGCCGTAGGGGCTGGGGTGCCACAAGATGCGCAGCCACTCGCGGGACCGCCAGGCCTCCGCGCACACCGGGAAGAACTTGCCGCCACGCTGGTTGGTCGTAAGCTCACCGAGCTTGAGTATCGTTTTGGGCTCCATCGCTCCTTCTTTTTTCACGACAAGAAAAAAATGCCGGCCACCGTCTCCACCGCGGAGTGCGTGGTGGCCCTGGCGTGCTTGCTGGTCCTGTGGGCCTTTTCTTTTCCTTCAACAAATGAGACTCCTGGAACTCTTCAGCGGCACGGGGTCGGTCGGACGTGCCTTCGAGGCCCGTGGCTGGGAGGTAACGAGTCTTGACAGCAACCCAAAAGCCAGCCCAACCATCTGCTCCGACATCCTGCAATGGGACTACAAGGCCTTCGAGCCCGGGCACTTCGACGCAGTGTGGGCCTCGCCCTGCTGCACCGAGTTCAGCATCGCACTCAAGAAGCGCCCCCGCAACCTGCCGCTCGGAGATGCCCTGGCGCTCAAGACCCTGGAGGTCATAGACTACCTCAAGCCTCGGCGGTGGGCCATCGAAAACCCGAGCACCGGGCGCCTCAAAACCCGCCCCTACATGCAAGGGCTGCACATGGACAGGGTCACGTACTGCAAGTACGGCTTCCGCTACAAGAAGCCCACGGCCATCTGGCACAACTTGCCCTGGACCCCCTCCCAGGGGCCCTGCCGCAAGGGCGACCGCTGCGAGGCCTTCCAAGGAACTCGTCACCCAGAGGCCGCGCAGCGAGGGCCCACCAAGGGGCGCCAGGGGAGCAACTCGCGGGACCAGCTCTACTCCATCCCGCCTGCGCTGTGCGACGAGATCGCCGCGAGCGCAACACTTGGGTTAAATGGGCAAGGTGCGTCTCTTCAAGACGCCTGAGTACTCCGTCAAGCAGCCGCCTGACCCCGTGGTTTGCAAGCCCCCCGCCAACGGTATTTTGTGTGCCCCATCTGCAAGTGGAAAGACGGTACTCCTTGTGAGCATGATTTTGGAGCAATACCGGGGCTGCTTCGAGCGCATCTATATCTTCTCGCCCTCGGTGGAGGTCGACTCTGCCTGGCAGCCTGTCAAGGATTACATCCGAGACGAGCTGGGCGTGAATACGGACCGGGAGCAGTGCTGGTGGGAGGATTGGGACGAGGGGGCGCTGCGGAAGATCATCGCCGACCAGAAGCGCATCACCCAGAAGAGCAAGGAGCTGGGCCTGAAGAAGCTGTACCAGGTTTTGGTCGTTCTAGATGACCATGCCGATAATCCTGCGGTGCACCGCAAGACGGGAGATGGCGTTTTGGACACCCTGTTCATCAGGGGCAGACATTTTTGCATCAACACCTGGGTGAGCACCCAGAAGCTGCGGCTCATGAGCAGCGCGGTGCGGGTCAATGTGATGTTCTACTGCGTCTTCCGGTTGCGGAATCAGCTAGAGCTGGACGCTTTGGTGGAGGAACTCTCGGCCATGCTGCCGAAGGAAACCCTGTACTCGATGCACGAAGAAGCCACGCGAGAGCCCTACAGCTTTTGGTTCGTTAACCTCCGCGCTCCCAAGGAAGACATGTTTTGGGTGCGCTTCGACCGGAAGTTCTTGCTAAATGGGGACGCTCCTGAGCCAGATGGCGGCCAAGTTGTTGGGGGGAGGCCCGATGTGCGAAAGTGAGTGCAGCAACATAAGGTGCTGCACCAGCACGCAAGGCATCTACGACCCCAGCCACTGGCCGCCACCAGAGAGGCCCCGACAAACCTCCGACGGGTCCAACGCCAGCGAGTTCTCGGCGCGGCCCACCCGGTTTTTCAGGCGTCGTTCTAAAAAGGGCATGACGAGTATCTACGTGGACTCGCGCCTCCGCGCGGAGGGCACGGACAGCAGCTTCTCCTTCGACATCGGTGAGAGTGTGCACATTCAATCCGGCGCCAAACTTGCGGTGTACAAGGTCCGCGTCGCTGACGCCTTCCTGAGCACGGACCGCGGGACGTTCTTGTACTGGGAGGACACGGTGGCCGGCACCCTGCACTACGCGGAGCTGCCTGTCGGGGCGTATACGGGCCCACGGCTAGCGGCGTGGATTTCCAGCAATTTCGCGGCGGCCACGTACACAGCCGAAACAAATGAGCTGGACGTGACCTACGACGGCGTGCGCCTGATGCTGAACGACGCCGAGCTCCGGCAACGCTTCCCGGGGACAGGCCCTTACCCGCCGGGCGCCTCACCCAGCAAGCCCCTGAGCATCAACCACCTTCTGGGGCCCAGCTACCTCACAGCCTCCGTGCAGCGCTTCGTTTTTGTGACGATGAATCCGTTCTCAGAACTGTACCTCAGGTGCCCAACACTGGCCAACGGGGAGACGACAGTGGGCCCGTTGGGGCACGACATCCTCTGTAAAATCGTCGTTTCGAAAGGCGTGGGCCACGTCATGGAGACCGAGACGTCAGAGGGGCACTGGGTTCAGCTGCATGGGCCCATAACCCTGCGTCACTTGCGCTTCAAGCTCACCGACTACCAGGGCAACATCGTAAACACTCGAGGCACCAGCATTTCGTTTGTGGTTTTCCTCGACACCGAACGATAAAAAAAATAATTGGAAAAGAAAATGGCTGAGGATGAACCCGCTCCTGCGCAGCCGGTGGTGGCCACCGAGCCCGCCGTGGCCGAGCCTCCCGCGCAGCCGGTGGTGGCCGAGCCTCCCGAGCCTGCCGAGCCTGCCGAGCCTGCCGCGGTGGCCGAGCCGCCGACCAAGGCTCCTCAGGAAGCGCCCCAACCCAAACGGCGAGGGCGACCGCCAGGTTCGAAGAACAAGCCAAAGCCGCCCCCGACTGTGGCCGTGGCGGAGCTTCCGAAGCATGCGCCTGAGCGACCTTCGGATGAGCCGCCGGCACCGGAGCCGCGGCAAGAGCCCCACCAGGAGCGAGCACAGGAGCCCCCACATGAACCCCAGCAACCCGTGCGCATGACACCCTCGGAGGCTCGCCGCGCTCGGCAGCTCTCCCGCGCCGACCGCTTCCACGAGCTCCTACTCGCAAACACTATGGACTTGTAAAACGAGATGATGCCCTTCCCCGAACGGCGCAACGAGGCCGCAATGCTGCGAGCCTTCCACAAGCAGTACCCCAGCTACAACCTGACGCCGCTGCTCTACAAGCGGCAGCAGCAATTGATCGATGCCCGGGCCTTCAACGAATGGTTGGCCAACCGGCGTCAGCGCCAGGAAGGTGAGGCATACGCAGACGAGCTGGGGCGCATGACCGACGCCGTCAACAGGAGGATCCCCCAGTTGAGGTGGGCCCCCGCCGAGCGGGCGGGCGTGCGTCGCGTGGCCCGCGACGTGGCTGCCGGGCGCAACACTAGCGACTCTGCGGTTTATGGCGGCCTCATGTAAAGATGGAGGAGCGGCGTGCGCACGGCTTCCGCGTACAGCCGTCATACTCACAGGTCCTGGGCTACATCGCTGAGGGCGAGCCCTTGCCCATCGACCTCCCAAACCGCAATGCCAGCATCCTGACTTCCAGCCACTTCTGGCTGGACGACTATCCCCAGAGCTCCGAGCCCGAGCCAGCCCCGCTGCCCCACACGACCGTGGACCCCGCGGCGGCCTTCGAGGACGCCAATGAAGGGTATGATGGCGTGCCCTTCCCCCGCCGAGATTTCCTGCGCCCCCGGCCTTTGACCTGGACAGCGAGTCTGATTTTGGGGCTGTGGACCCAGGCCAAGCTCTGAGAAACGACGGGCTGGAGCCCCCAGCACCGCCAAGCTTCTTGAGCCGATTGCAGCAGGCCGAGGCCGCGGCGGGAGCAGCGGCGGGGCTGGCGGGCTCCGCCTCCGCCATCGCGGGGCACGGGCAGGACCTCTACAACGCCGCTCGCAGGGGGCGCAATTGGATCGACCGGAACCTGCGCATCCCGCGCACACCCGAAGGGCCTGGCGCCCCCGCCCGACGAGGTGGCCCCTCCGCAGATCATCGGCAGGCCCAGCGAGGTGGAGCCGCTCCTGGAGCGGGCGGGGCAGCGGGCCCAGGAGGTGGAAAGGGCTGCAGCCCAAGACATTGAACAGTTCATGAGCGAGCAGGTGGCCGAGGCCGAGGCCACGGAGGGCTTCGCTTCCACCGCAGAAGTGGCTGCGGGGGCCGCAGAAGCGGCAGCTGCAGCGGAGGGCCCGAGTGCACTGGCGCTGTTTGGAGAGGCTGCATTGGGCACGGCTGCGGGCATGGGAGCAGCAGCAGGAGGCCTTGCCGTGGCGGGTGGGGCAGCGGCGCTTGTGGGCACTGCGTGGGCGCTCCACGGCGGCATGGTGGCCGCAGAACATTTGCTGGGCTGGGGCGGCGGTGGCGGCACCGACACGGACGCTTCGCGGCCCAGCTCGGCCCCAGACATTCAGACTCTCAACGGCATGCAGGAGTTCGGTGCTGAGCAGCACTTCCAGCTCCGAGAACAACAACGCCCGCGGACACAGTTCTACCGCATGGACACCGAGGACGAATCGGGGCCGCGGGCCCAGCCGCCCCCGAGGGTGCAGGCCCGCCCCGCGAGGCCCACGCGCTTCCCCACGGGCCTCAATCCCGCCCCCCTGGCGCAGTCCTCGGGCAGTGAGAGCTCCTCCCGCGGGCCTCACATGCAGCCGCAGTCCCGCGCCGCGCCGCCCCCTTCCTTCGAGGCGCTTCGGAGCGCGAGCGAGCCGGAGGCCGCGTGAATCTTTCGCTACAAGTAAACAGTATGGAGCAGGTAACTGCTGCCGTCAATGATGAGCTCGTACAATCCCTTTCATTCAAGCTGGAGACCTCCAACGTCAATTACGTGCAGAGCCGCAAGGACGTGCAGTACTATCCGAGCTCGCTGAGCGTCTTCACGCCGACCACGAGCCGCGTGTGCAGGATCCCGCTCACGTCAGGAATGGACTTCGTGGACGGGGAGTCCGTCAAGCTGGGCTTTACGGTGCGCAACACCTCCACCACGGCGACGCTGCAGCTCTCCTCGCCGGACCCGTCGTGCCTCATTGACCGGATAGAGGTCTTCGCGAACGGCACCCGCATCGAGGACATCTCCTATTACAACCGCTGCTCGTACCTCTACAGCCTCCTGAAGAACGAGGAGTGGTGGCTGAACCGGCACATCCAGGGCTTCCTGGCGGACGGCGGTGGCCACGCCGCACCCATCCCGGCCTCGGGCTCCCGCACCGTGCTCATGAGCCCGCACCTCATCGGGATCTTCAACTGCGGCAAAATGTTGCCCCCCGAGCTCGGCCTTGTTCTTCAAATCACCTTCTGCGACCCCACCGACGGGGCCCGCAACGTCAGCGGGAGCCAGGAGTACACAATCGAGAACGTGAAGCTCTACGCCTCCCAGGTGACCCTCGACTCCGCCCTTCGCGAGAGCTTCCAGAGGATCATGACCAGCGGCCGCAGCCTGGTTTTCAGCTTCCCGACGATGCACACGCAGCTCTCCAGCATCCCCGCAGGGTCCACCAGCTACAATATTACAATAGCACGGGCATTTACGAAATTACTCGGCGCCTTTGTGACGTTCAACAAGACCACGGAGGACCACGTGGACAATTTCGAGTACCCTGGAGCGAATGCGAATCGGAACCTCAAGGGCCAGCTGCAGCTGGGCGCGCTGCAGTACCCTCGCACGGCGAACGAGAGCATCGCCGAGTGGCACCACTTTCTGGAGATCCTCGCGGGCACCTACGACTCGAAGCTGCGCAACATGCGCATCCGGGACAACCTCTACGGGAACACGCAGTTCATCGCGGCCTTCCCGGTGGAACGAGTGCCCAAGCACCCGCTCTCGGGCATCTCGACCCGCTCCGGCGACCTCTGTCGCTTCAGCTTCAGCAACATGGAGGCGGAGCGCGTGGACCAGTGCTTCGTGCACATGCTCTCCTACCAGCTCGTGACGCTCTCGGGCTCCGGGGTCAGTTCCCTCGACTAGTAAAACATGAGTCTTTTTGAGTCGACCATCACCGGCAACATCCTCAACGATGGCCAGACTCCCATCACCACCATCGAGATGCAGGGGATCTCTGCGGGGCAGCTCGCAACGGTCCTCACGGCCTACACACCCCTCACAGACACCGCTGCCAACACCGCATCCATCGGGACCAACTCGTCCGCCGTCGCGGCACTGCAGGTCCAGGTGGCAGCCATCCCGGCACCGCCCGATTTGACCCCTTACGCTTTGGCAGCCGACTTGGCAGCCGCCGAGGGCCTCATCGCCGGCAACGCTTCTTCCATAACCACTCTCAGCACCAGCCTCACCACGGGTCTGGCGGGGAAAGCGAACCAAAGCGCCCTCGACGCACTGCAGCTGGACGTGAACTCCAAGAGCACGCCCGCCTCCGTGGACCTCAAGCTAGCCAACCATCCCACTAACGCTTCCATGAACAGTGCCATCACCAGTGCCGACAACGCAGTACTCGCGCAGGTCGCAGCCACCTATGGGCTGAAGAGCACGCAGGACCAGCTGGCCCTCGACGTGGCGGCCCGGCAAACAGCCGCGGACGTCGACCAGAAGATCGCCACTGCTCTTTTGGACCGGCCCACAACCACCGACCTCAGCAGCACAGTGGCCCTGCGCACCACACCCGCGGATGTCTCGCAGCTCATCGCCACGGCGCTCCTCCCTTTCGTGCAGCAGGCAGCCCTGGACGCAGCTTTGGCCATCCAAGACGGGAGGCTCGACGCCTCCGAGGCGGCCCTGGCGGTGCTGCAAGCCGCGGGCTTCCAGTCGGCTGCCGACGTGGCTGCAGCTCTTGCCACCGCGCTCGCGGGGTACACGGACACCGCGGGGCTCGGCAGCTTGCTGGCCGTGCGAGATGCACGCCTGGACGGGCACGACACGGAGATCCTGGCCCTGCAAGGTGCCGGACCTTATGCGACGGCGGCCGAGCTATCGGCTTCCGAAACAAGTCTGCAGAGCGCCATCGATGCGCTCAACGCAGCACTGGCTGCTCTGACCACAGGAGGCGGCACGAACCTGGCCAACGCCCAGGCGTGGCCCGGGCAGACGACCTGGGATCTGCTGGTCGGAACGAACACAATTAGGAACTGGCACTTCAACGATCCCCTGAGCGTCTCCCTCGAGAACGACAACTTCACGCTGAGCCTGGCCTGCGATGCGTACACGCAGGCGGAGGTCAATGCTCTTCTGGCGCCCCTGGCCAGCGAGTCCTGGGTGCTGGCCACCCTGGGCAGCTACTACACAAGCAGCGAAACCAATGGAGCCATCAGTGCAGCTCTGGTCCCGTATAGCACGACACTGCAGATGGATGCTGCCATTGCTGCGGCTGTGGGCGGCATCGACTTGAGTGCATACGTGCCGTGGACCGGGCTTCAGGCGCCCATCCTGAACGAGATCGCTATAGCGCTCGCATCCTACTACGACTCCGCGCAAGTGGACGCCCTCATTACGGGCGCAGCTGTTTCCAATGCGCCCGCCTGGAGCGGGAACACCACCTGGGAGCTGCTGACGGGGCAGGCCCTGCGGAACCTGCACTTCGCCGGGCCCCTGGTGGCCAGCCTCCAGAACTCGGGCAACACGCTGCAGATCGAGTGCCAGGCCTACGACCAGAGCCAGACGTACACGCAGGCCGAGGTGAACGCGCAGATATCGAGCGCCGTGGACGCGCTCAACGTCTCCCAGTACGCCACGCAGGCCGACATCGACAGCTCCATTGCTTCGGAGCTGACCAACTACTGGGACCAGGGCGAAACCTCGGCGGAGATCGCCAGCCAGATCAGCTCCTCTGGGCTCCTCACCGAAGCGCAGGGCGACGCCCGGTATCATCCCGTCAACGGCAACGCCGGAGGCGGAGGCATCATCCCTATGGTCCTCGACAACTTCACGCCCAGAATGATAAGGGCGCTGCTGCCCCAGGCACCCCTGGGAGCGAACCTGATCCTGGGCAACTCCGCCACGGTGCAGCTTACGTGTGACTGCTACAGCAAAAGCGAAAGTGATGGGAGGTACTTCTCCAACAGCGACTTCACGCCCCTGGACTCCAGGTACCATGTGGTCAACGGCAACGCGGGGGGTGGGGGCATCATTCCTATGGTGCTCGACAACTTCACGCCAAGAATGATAAGGGCGCTGCTGCCCCAGGCACCCCTGGGAGCGAACCTGATCCTGGGCAACTCCGCCACGGTGCAGCTTACGTGTGACTGCTACAGCAAGGCCGAAAGCGACGCCCGCTATGCGCTGGCGGGTGCGCCGCCCTCGGATCCCCTGCTGGTCAATGACGTGAGGGCCAACGGAGCGGATTTCTTGACGCTGCGGGGCGGCAACCTGGGCATCGAGTTCGAGGCTTCCAACGGGGCCGCCGTGGCCGACCTGTCCTCGAGCCAGTTCAGCCTCAAGACGGGCGTCAACATGCTGACCATGGGCCGAATCTTCGCGGACAGCAGCCTGGGCATCGCCACGGCCGGCAGCATCCAGGCGGACACCGTGGAGCCCCTGCTTCCGACCAATCAATTTCTTAACCTGAAGGCGGGCACCGTGTCTGTCAGGGTGACGGACCAGGCGGACCAGAGCCTCTGCACCTTTGTCACGGCGGAGGTGCACTCGATAGCCCCGAGGCTACGAGTGGACACGGAGCTCTACATCGACGACGCCACGGGCACGGCCACGGGGCTGGTGACCAACGCCATCTCCACGCGGGTCCAGGACACGGAGCTCACCATTACCGGAGGCTCCGGGGGCACCGTCGTCAACGGCGCACTGGACGTGCAGGGCACGCTAACCTCGGGAAGCGTGGAGCTCAGCACGGAGCTGCGGGCGCCCACGGTGCGGGCGAGGCCCACAGACGACTACCTCACATTGACGGGCGGCACGCAGGGGACCTACCTCAACTCGGTGCTCTACACCGCCAGTGCGATTCGGGCCGACAACGGCATCGTTTCGAGCCCGGCCTACCTGGACCTCATTGGCGGCAGCACGGGCGTGCAGGCGCAGGGGGACCTGCGGGTCGTGGCCACCGTCAACAGCGGGGACGTGACGGCGGAGGTGCTGAACCTCGCGACTGCGGGCAACGCACGGCTCCTGATGGCCTGCAACGCAGGCTCGGGGGAGCTCTCCGCCTCTTCCGCGGGGGGCGTGCAGCTCTACGCCCAGGACCAGGCCATCTTCCTGCGCACGGCGGCGACCGGGCCGGCCAACCTCATCGTGGAATCGAACACGGGCGGGGCCAACGATGGGGAAGTGATCGTGAATTATGGGTTCCAAAATCTCTCGGACGAGAAGCTGAAGCACAGCGTGGAGCCCGCGGGGCTCGAGGAGCTGCAGCAGCTCTTCGACGCCGTGGCACCCAAGTGGTACCGGCGGACCGAGGGGAGCCAGAAGCGTACGTTGGGTTTCATCGCCAACGAGGTGCTGGAGACGGGGCCCGTGGGCCAGGCTCTGTGCGGCAAGCTCGTGGACAAAGAGCTCGGGGAGCTCGTTACGCTCGACTATAACCGCATGTGCTGCGTTTTGTGGGGTGTCTGCCAGGGGCTCCAGGCTCGCGTGGAGGCTCTTGAGAAGAAGGGCAAGAAGCGCTCGTGATATAAAATGGACGCGGAGAACGTGAACCTATTCCGGCAGCTGGCCGCGGACTTCTCTGTCCGCGATGTGCGGAAGCTGCACCAGCTGGCACGGCGGGAATTCCCGGACCGGCCGGGCATGACCTATGCCCAGGCAGATTTTGGCCCCCAAGCCCCGGTCTTTAGGCAAGAGTGCAGCCGAGGGCCCCAACGATCGGCTGCAAGCTGATTTGATCGACTTCAACGTCAACACTCGGGGGGCCAACAAGTACGGGCTGATTGTCTCGGACGTTTTCACCCGAGAAGCAGTGACCAAAGCCCTGCCCGATAAGAAGACAGAGACGGTCTCGGCAGCAGCCCGGGAGATCATCCCGAAGCTGGTGGAGGAGGAAACCAATTATGTTGTGTCCACGGATCAAGGGGTTGAATTCAATGGCCTGGAGGGGGCGCTGCCTGACCCCGTGGTGCACAGAGTGAAGGATCCCTCGGATCGGAACGCTCTGGCAGTGGTAGATAGAACCATCCAAACCTTGAAACGGGACCTGGCCAGCGACGTGGCCCGGCATGGGGGCAACTGGAGCGAGCACCTGCCTGACGCAACCTTGGCCTACAACCGCCGGCCACACGAGGCCGTGCATGCGGCCCCCGAGGATGTGGAGCACCAAAAATCCACCATGTTCCGAGTGTACCAGGACAATGCCAAAAAGTTCCAGCACAACATGCAGCTCACCCGGCGCAGGCAAGAGAGACTGGAGGAGATGGGGGCCTTCCGGGCTCCAACCAATGCGCGACGAAGCTTCGAGCCACAATATGGAACCGCCAAAGATG